TGTGTGTGTGTGTGTGTGTGTGTGTGTGTGTGTGTGTGTGTGTGTGTTGGGTGGGAGTGAGGGTGTGGGATTGGTTTATTGCCTTTTTTTAAAGAGGTAAACAGCAAACCAGTCAAGAATTGCACATGTCCTACTATTTTTATTTGCCCGTCTGTCCCACAGCCCACTGGTTCGTCCTGTCCACCTTTTATCTCTCATCTGTGAGACTGTGAGCTCTTTGGAGAAGAGACTGTTATTTACTGTATCCTTGTACCGCACCTAGCACAATCGGACCTCAACCTGGTTTGCCTCTAGGTGCCACCACAATACACATGATAAATAATGTAGTGCTGTAAGACTATGGCTATAATGCATTTGTAATATAGTACATAATGGAGACAGAACATAAGATGATGATTAGAAATGATGTTTAGATTATTAGATGGCCATTTTTAAGCTGTATGTTTTCCTCCTTTCTACATATTATATTACAGAATCATAGAGCCATAGGGTTATCTGGGACCGCAAGAGTCATCTAGTCTAACCCACTGTCAAGATGCAGGATTTGTTGGATCTAAACCATCCAAGACAGATGGCTATCCAGCCTCCTTTTGAAAACTTCCAGTGATGGAGATTCCATAACTTCCCTAGGCCATCTGTTCCATTGTCCTACTGTTCTTACAGTTAGGAAGTTTTTCATGAGATTTAATCTAAATCTGCTATGCTGTAGTTTGAACCCTTTGCCTCTTGGTCTGCCCTCTGTGGCAAGAGAGAACAGTTTTTCTTTATCTTTTTTGTGGCAACCTATTGTGGAGCCAATACACCCCTTCACTCTTTGGGGCATGGGGAAAGGCATGATAGCCCCACAACTGAGTCCCAATGACCACCCTGAGTCTCAGGGCCTACTGGCCAGAGTCAATATGGCTGCCCTCACTTGTAGGGCCGTGCGGCCTACTGGCCCGAGTCAGTATGGCTGCCCTCTTAGTCAAGGCTGTGAGATCGAGCAGCCAGTTGGGAAGTGGGCCGCCATCTAGGGGTGGCTGGCAGCTGGGGTAGAGGGATCCAGGCCATCCCTGCTCCACCAGGTCCCAGCCCATGACCCTGATAGCAGCGAATGGATTCATCACTAGATTAGTGAGGATCTGTCCGAATCACGCTGCCTTTGTCCCGGTTCCACAACCGGACCAATCTCTAGTTCCCCTGGGTTACTTCCTACCCTGTTTTCCAGTGTTGCTGTCCACAAGTCTCCTGGACCTCTGGGGTCATCAGCTTGCGAAGCTCCCAATGACTTGGGCTTCCGTGGGCGGCCCGGTATTGGCCTGGGTCTCGGCACACTTGGCCTTCATGATCGGGGGCTCCAGCAGCTCCCAAGAGGGAGCCTGCAATGAGCATTCTCTCTCCTCAGCCCTGACTGAGCTGGCCTTTTGTGCTGAGGCTCCAGTTGGAGCATGCCCAGCAGTGGCAAGGGGATGTGGCTTCCTCCACCCACCATGTGGGGTTAACTTCTCCTTCTCTAGTGTGGGGCATGTACATCCCGTCACACAGCCTTTCACGTATTTGAAGACCACTATCATGTTCCCCCTTAGTCTTCTCTTTTCAGGGGTGAAAGTAAAATTGAATTCTTACCAGTACAGGGGCCTCGGGCGGAAGGGCCAGGGCTGGGGGGTCAGCGTCCCCCAGCCAGCCCATCTGCGCTGCCTGGCCCGTGCTGCCCCGGACTCCAGCGGTGATTTAAAGGGCCTGGGGCTTTTAAATCGCCGTCCCCTGGGAAGCTGCTCCTTTTGCACCTCCCCCTCCCTCCCCCCCGTCAGTGGCCTGGGGGAGGGGGCAAAAGGGGCAACAATGTTAAGCTTTAAGCAGGGTCCTTTGCCGCGGCAGCGCTTTAACGTCGCTGCCCCTTTTGCCCCTCCCACCCCCATCATCGGTGGTGGCAGCGCTTTAAAGTCAGCTGTATGGGCCGGTACCAGCAGCCACTTTTTACCGGTACACCATACCAGCCCGTACCGCCTTACTTTCACGCCTGTCTCTTTTCCAAACTAAACATACCCAGTTTCTTCAGCCTTTGCTCATAAGGCTTGCATTCCGTCCCTTTGATCATCTTCGTCTCTCGCCTCTGGATCCTTCCCAATTTCTCTACATCCTTTCTATACAGCAATGACCAAAACTGGACACAGAACTCTATCTGAGGCCTAACCAGTGCCGAGTAGAGCGATACTATCACCTCCTGTGACTTGCATGCTGTGCCTCCGTTAATGCAACTCAAACAGCATCATGTTGTTGACTCATGTCGAGGTTGTGAGCCACTACAACTCCCAGATCCTTCTCAGCTGTGCTGTTGCCAAGCCAGTTATTCCCCATTCTGTATTTGTGCATTTGGTTTTTCTTCTCTAAGTGTAGCACCTTGCATTTGTCCTTGTTGAATTTCATCTTGTCTGTAGCCCAGTTCTCCAATTTATCTAGATCCCTTTGAATTTTAGTACTATCCTCCAAAGTGTTTGCATATAGGTTTGTCTTCTATAACTGCCTGTTGTTTCTGTTTCGTCGTGAGCTCTGTCTGCTATTCCAGGCTTCAATCCTTCATTTACTATAAAACTGAACTCCTATGGTTTCATTATGCACAAATGTTCCAATCCTAGATGTATCAAAATTGAGGCGTCAGTTGCTATAGTTTCTATAATCTATAAATTGGGTGCAGTGAGGATGCTGATTTTAACAGCTGGGCTCAGATCATACACAGCTTCTTCATTCACAGGAAGTACTTTGAATGATGAAAGCAGTAGTCTCATAATTTAATAAGAAATTTCTAAAGGAGAAAAACACCTCCTCCCCATCCTTACATGCATCAGTCTGTGACTGTAACTAATACCTATTAGCTAGCAGTACCAAAATAAAACTGCTCTGCCATATGCAATTTTTGTCAGTGCCAGCAATGTGCTCATCCTTGTGGGAATCTGCACCCCGGGCCTCTCAGTGAACAGCACAAAGTTTGGTTTAGCTAGCATAACCCTTGGCCTCTGTAGCTCTTACGGGTGTGTGTATAGCTGATATGTAGGAGCCACTATCATACTGATTTCTGCTGTTTGGACTAGCCTCTGTGCCTCAGAACCTGCAGCAAATACGAGTAGTCTTAGCAGTCAGTTACAGCGTTCAGAGAATCTGTATTTATTTACTTTTTGGGTCACCACATAGTTTGTTCTTCAGCTGGAATTTTCACACATGCTGCCCTCTGCGCAACAGCTGTAGCAGTTACCACTAAAAGATCACTGTTTACTAACGGTTACCACTCAGTGGTGTATGAGAAAAGTTTTTACAGGGGTCATGGGCCCTTGACTCTAGCAAAAAGATCCCAGGAATAGTCTCCATGATAATGTACCATTATATCAAGAATGGTTTGACAATAAAGATTCAAAATTAGTACAGGTCAATATTGGCCGTTTGGCTTTGGAATCAAAATGAGAAAAAGGAGCTAAAAGCTTGTGTGTGTGTATATATATACACACACTCAGTGAACCACATTTTAAGCAATTACTTAAGATGCCACACACAAAAATGTTGCCTAATAGAGGCGACATGTAGTAACAGTCCATTAATGGCTATTAGCCAGGATGGGTAAGGAATGGTGTCCCTAGCCTCTGTTTGTCAGAGGGTGGAGATGGATGGCAGGAGAGAGAGAACTTGATCATTACCTGTTAGGTTCACTCCCTCTGGGGCACCTGGCATTGGCCACTGTCAGCAGACAGGATACTGGGCTGGATGGACCTTTGGTCTGACCCAGTATGGCCGTTCTTATGTTCTTAACAGTTAAAAACTTGGACAGACCCTGAAGTTTTGCATCTGTCTCCTGAAGAATAGTCAGAGAGTATATCATGTTAGTTTAAAAAAAAAAAAAAAAAAAAACTGTGATCCAAACACATTATTTTCTCCTTTATGCAGTCAGTGACCTCTCTGTCTGCACATGCTAACACTGATCTGAAAACATTTTCTACAAAATCTTATTAATCTAGATTTCTCTTTCCTCAGAAATCAAATAGTAAACCTCTCTGACACGAGATACTTTTATCTATTTTATATGGTATTGTTCCTTGTAATTTTTCTAAATTCTATTCTAACACTTTGTAGTCAGTTCTTTGTAGCCTTGAGCTACAGTAGTCCGCTCTATAGTTGCTTAATAGCCTCTTTATTTCACGGCATGAATTGTTATTCCTTTATCAAGCAATTGGCTTGTTAGCCTTTGATCCCCTTTTTGTGTCTCAGGTATGCAACTATTTGATAGTCTAATTCCATAATGTGTGGTGGGGTGCATTTTCCCACATTTTACTTTTGCATAATATACATTGCCCAAATTTTCAAACCTGGGATCTTAAAATTAGGCTCTTAAATTCCTGTGTAGGCACCTAAATAGAAGTTTCAGAGTGGGTTTCAGAGGTATTGAGCGCCTGCAGTAACCATTAAGATAATTTTAAATATTTAAAGATAGAGAAAAAGACTTTGTTTTAATCAATATGAAACAAATGTATAAACCAAGATTTTCAAAAAGGGGCTCTTAGGGCCATATTTACACACCTGAATATGTGGTCTGATTTTCAGAAGTCAGTTGAAGTTGCTGGATGTTCAGCACTTATGAAAATCAGGCCACATATCTAGGTGGCTAAATATGGATTCAGGAGCCCAGATTTAGGTACCTGTTTTTTTTTTAATTCTATGCAATTACTAGTATTACTGATGGCCGCTCGTGCGTTAATGTGACGGTATCATAGTCAGATTCGTTTTATAACATAATTTTCTCAATGTTCAATATTTCACTTCTAATATAGCTTTCAACATTTATGTTTTAGGAAACACTGGGAACACATTCAAGATCGAACCAGTTTTAGGCATCATCACAGTATTGAAGGAACCGGACTTGACAACAATGGGACAGTTTGTTTTGTCAGTCAAAGTAACTGATCAAGGTTCACCACCACTGTCTGCAACGGCAATTGTACGCATTTCTGTGACCATGTCAGATAATTCCCATCCAAAGTTCACACACAAGGAATACCAAGCAGAAGTTAATGAAAATGTTGATATTGGAACTTCAGTCATTTTGATCTCTGCAATCAGTCAGTCTACATTAGTTTATGAGGTCAAGGATGGGAATGTGGATGGAGCCTTTACTATAAACCCATATTCTGGAGTCATCACCAGTCAAAAGCCACTTGATTATGAACGCACTTCCTCTTACCAGCTCATTGTTCAAGCAACTAACATGGCAGGCATGGCATCAAATGCCACTGTCAGCATTCAGATTGTTGATGAAAATGATAACCTGCCAGTTTTTCTCCTCTCCCAATACTCGGGCAGCATAAGTGAAGCTGCTCCTGTAAACAGTATAGTCCGGAGCGCAGCCAACAACCCACTGGTGATACGAGCTACGGATGCCGACAGTAATCAGAATGCTTTGCTGGTCTATCAGATTGTTGAATCCACTGCTAAGAAGTACTTCACTGTAGATTCCAGCACTGGCGCGATCAGAACAATTGCAAATTTAGACCATGAAACCATAGCCCACTTCCATTTCCACGTGCATGTTAGAGATAGCGGAAATCCACAGCTCACAGCGGAGAGTCCAGTTGAAGTTACTATTGAAGTAACTGACATCAATGACAATCCTCCAGTCTTCAGTCAGGCTGTGTTTGAGACAGTCTTGCTTCTGCCCACTTACGTTGGTGTAGAGGTTCTTAAAGTCAAGGCCACAGACCCGGATTCAGAAGTTCCACCTGAACTAACATACAGTCTGATTGAAGGCAATGTGGACCATTTTTTGATTGATTCAAGTACTGGGGTACTCACCATAAAAAATAATACTCTTTCCAAAGATCATTATATGCTTATAGTAAGAGTGTCTGATGGGAAATTTTACAGCACTGCTATGGTGACCATAATGGTAAAAGAAGCCATGGATAGTGGGCTCCATTTTACACAAAGTTTTTATTCCACATCTATCTCGGAGAACAGCACTAATATCACAAATGTAGCTGTGGTGAATGCTGTTGGAAACCGTCTCAATGAGCCCTTGAAGTATGGTATATTAAACCCAGGCAACAAGTTCATGATCAAATCCACCTCGGGAGTCATTGAAACAACGGGCATCCCCTTTGACAGAGAAAAACAAGAGCTGTATGAGCTGGTCGTTGAAGCAAGTCGTGAACTAGATCATCTCCGTGTGGCCAGGGTGGTTGTCAGAGTTAACATTGAGGACATCAATGACAATGCTCCGGTGTTTGTAGGGCTGCCTTACTATGCTGCTGTACAAGTTGATGCTGAGCCCGGTACCCTAATATATCGAGTGACAGCCATTGATAAAGATAAGGGTGCAAATGGTGAAGTCTCCTATCTGTTGAAAGAAGACTATGGGCATTTTGAAATTGACAGACAAACTGGTAGTGTCACTTTAAGAGAAGCCTTCAACTCTGACTTATCTAATATAGAGTATTTAGTTATCATCCTTGCAAAAGATGGTGGTAATCCTTCGTTGTCTGCTTCAGTAGAACTTCCTATTACTATAGTTAATAAAGCAATGCCTGTGTTTGACAAGCCCTTCTATACAGCTTCTGTAAATGAAGACATAGAAATGCACACCCCAATTCTTAGCATAAATGCAACCAGCCCAGAGGGCCAGGGTATCATTTATATCATTGTTGATGGAGATCCCTACAACCAGTTTAACATTGACTTTGACACCGGCATTCTGAGTGTCATCAGCCCATTGGACTATGAAGTAAATTCTGTTTTTAAGCTGACAGTACGAGCCAGTGATGCCCTCACTGGTGCTCGGGCTGAAGTCACTGTGGACTTAATTATTAATGATGTAAATGATAATCCTCCAGTTTTTGATCACTTGGCCTATAATGCCACCTTATCCGAAGCATCTTTGATTGGGACTCCTGTGTTGCAGGTTGTTGCTACCGACGCAGACTCTGAAAATAACAAAATTATACAGTATCAGATTGTCCAGGACTCCTTTAACAGCACTGATTATTTTCACATCGATAGCACAAGTGGCCTAATCCTGACAGCCCGTATGTTGGATCATGAACTATTACAGCAGTGCAGCTTAAAAGTCAGAGCAGCTGATAATGGATTCCCACCACTGAGCAGTGAAGTTCTTGTTAGTATTTATGTGACAGATATGAATGACAACCCTCCAGTTTTTAACCAGTTAATATATGAATCTTACGTGAGTGAACTGGCCCCTAGGGGTCATTTTGTGACTTGTGTCCAAGCTTCTGATGCTGACAGCTCTGATTTTGACAGACTGGAGTACAGTATCTTGTCTGGAAATGATCGGACCAGCTTTATAATGGACAGCAAGAGTGGCATTATAACTCTGTCTAACCATCGGAAACAGAGGATGGAGCCAATGTATAGCTTAAATGTCTCTGTCTCGGATGGATTGTTCACCAGCACAGCTCAGGTGCATATCCGGATCCTGGGTGCTAACCTCTATAGCCCCACGTTTTCACAGAGTATTTATGTGGCAGAGGTTAGAGAAAATGCTGCCCCTGGAACTAAGGTAGTCCATGTAAAAGCGACAGATGGAGATTCTGGTATATATGGCCAAATAAACTACTCCATAATAAATGATTTTGCCAAGGACCGATTCTTAATTGATAACAATGGACAGATCCTAACAACTGAGAAATTGGACCGAGAGAACCCTTTGGAAGGGGATATCAGTATATTTTTGAGGGCCCTGGATGGAGGTGGGAGAATGACTTTCTGCACCGTGAGAGTGATCGTAGTGGATGAGAATGACAATACTCCCCAGTTTATGACAATAGAATACAGAGCAAGTGTCAAAGCAGATGTTGGAAAAGGTCATTTGGTCACCCAAGTGCAAGCATTAGATCCAGATGATGGAGCCAATTCAAGAATCACCTATTCATTGTATAGTGAAGCCTCTGTTTCAGTGGCAGATCTGCTTGAAATTGATCCTGACAATGGATGGATGGTCACCAAAGGTAACTTTAACCAGCTGAAAAACACCGTTCTGTCATTTTTCGTCAAAGCAGTTGATGGTGGCATTCCCATGAAGCATTCCCTTATTCCTGTCTATATCCATGTTTTACCTCCAGAAGCTGTTTTACCTTCCTTTTCCCAACCCCAATATTCTTTTACAATACCAGAAGACACTGTCATAGGAAGCACCCTTGACGTTTTGCATGTTTTGCCAAGCCTGGGTGCTGTATATAGCACTGTTAATGGTGAATTAGCTGAAAACAACAAGGAAGGGATTTTCATCATAGACCAAGACACTGGAATCATAAAGCTAGATAAGAGACTTGACCATGAGACAAATCCTGCTTTTCACTTTAAAGTTGCAGCCACCATACAGCTAGACAAAGTGGACATTGTATTAACTGTGGATGTGGAGGTTAAAGTGTTGGATGTAAATGACAACAAGCCTGTGTTTGAAGCTGCCAACTATGAAGCTGTAATAATGGAAGGGATGCCAATAGGGATTAATCTTATCCAGGTTAAAGCAATTGATGCGGACTGGGGTGCAAATGGGCAAGTCACATATACTCTTTCAGCGGAATCGGAGCTGGACAAGATCATGGAAGCCTTCACAATCGATGGCAACAGTGGGTGGATCAGCACATTGAAGGACCTAGATCATGAAAAGAATCCCACTTTTACTTTTGCAGTGGTAGCTTCAGATCTGGGAGAAGCTTTTTCCCTCTCTTCCACTACCTTGGTCTCTGTCACTGTGACAGACATAAACGACAATGCACCAATCTTTGAACACGAGGTGTACAGAGGATCCGTAAAAGAGAGTGACCCTCCAGGTGAAGTTGTGGCGGTTCTCAGCACATGGGACGAAGACACGTCTGAAGTCAACCGGCAGGTTAGCTACCATATCACAGGTAAGAAAGTTGCAAACCCCTTTTCTTCCTGAAACCTGCCGTTATTGAAGAACTGAGATTTAGTACAGATTAGCATGAAAGATTTAGCAGGATTGCAGGTACATCCTCAGCTTGCAAGCAAGTCAGTTCTATTTCTCTTGGATTTATTGTTCTTAATTTGACCAGAATTTTGTAGCAACTAGTGAAGCTTAGAGATAGAGAGAAAGAGATTTGTGTGTGTGTCATTCTCCCTCCCTCTCTCCCCAGTTTCACAGCCCAAGACTTCATGCTGTGCTGCAATGTAAGGAAGTGTAACCCGTCATGATTGATGTGTCAGCATGGGAAAGATCAGAACTTAATGTATCAACCAGGGAAAATGAACAGCATTTATTCTCAGGAGGAAAACCCTTACATTTCTACGCACTTTTTTTTAATTAAGCCCTTCCCCTTCCAGAGAGGGGAATGTTCATTTAAACTTTCATTTAAAAATTCAATTTAAAAAATCACTACCTGTGGAAAAATTGACGTGCACTGTAAATTAGGGAGGGAGGAATACCACACTTTCCCCACTTACCAGAAGCATCGTATCACAAACCAGGGAAGCAATAACCCTCCGTACTGCTGTTCTGGTTTGCAGACATGCAGCATGGTGTAAACGTTATTTCATTACTAATATTTTTTCCAAGCATGGTAGTATTGTTTGTTCCTATCATGCTATATTTATTGTCATTCTTTTTCCAGAGCAAAATTAGATGTGTGTATGTGTATGGGCGGGGGACGGGAGGTGGAGGAGGAAATGGGGTGTGGTTATTTTGTCTGTGCCTATGTCTGTTGTCTGCATTCTCCAGTACATTTGTGGGAGTAAAGTGTTGATTCCTCCTGCCTCCCATCCTGCAGAGCTGCTAATATATTGTAATAACCTGGTTATTGTTGGTGTGCACCACGGTCTGCACTGGATAGAATTAGAACTGCTTCCGGTTTTGTCATAGACTCAATACTGCTAACAAGTAATGGGTAAAAATAAGAAGTCTCATTTAGCTCAAGTGGTGCATGGGTTTGTGTATTTGGAGCGGGAGGATCTGAATTCTGTCCCTGCTTTTGCTATCAAATGCAGAATGGCTGTGGCATGTGGTATGGTAGCAATCATGAAGTCCTAGGTACCATGGTTTGTCATCATATACATTCAAAATACCACAGGTTTCAAGTGATTTAATAATTCATTTTGACCATTTGAAAATAGTCTTTATTCAGTTTGAAAGTAAATTCTTCCACACCTGTAAAAGCTAAACTGGTACACCTCTACCCCAATATAACGCTGTCCTCAGGAGCCAAAAAAACTTACCGCGTTATAGGTGAAACCGCGTTATATAGAACTTGCTTTGATCCGCCTGAGTGCGCAGCCCTGCCCCCCGGGAGTGCGCAGCCCCGCCCCCCGGGAGCGCTGTTTTACTGCGTTATATCCAAATTTGTGTTATATCGGGTCGCTTTATATCGGGGTAGAGGTGTGTATTAATAGGGTATCATATAATAGTGTATAAGGACAGGAGGTGAAGGCTAGTTTTGTGAGTAAAGAACAAAACTGGAAGGCAGGAGTTCTATTCCTGACTCGGCCACCCACTTCCTGTGTGACCTTGGGTAAGGCACTTCCTCTCTGTGCTTCATTGTCCCTGTTTGTAAAACTGGAATAATAATGCCGGTGTCCTAGATGCTTTGTGACACCTATATAATTATTGTCTGTATGGAGCTTTGAGATCCTCAAATGGAAAGTGCTGTAGAAAAGCAAAGCAGTGATGTTCAAATTGGGAGTAGTTTAGTGCACTGAGATAATTATTAACTAGCATTTTTCCCATTTTTGTAAATTGTCTTGAAGTCTTAAATCTCCTGTTCTAATGCACAATACAGATACATTATATATTAATCCACTTTCATTAATTTGAGAAAAATACCAGTTTAACAGCAGTCTCCTCCCGTAAGACCTAAAAGTTTCAAAACTATCCCTTCCTGATTTTATGTTGTCATAGTAAATTCTAAAAATGCTACTACTGAAAAAACAAGAGGTTTAAAAGGCACATGTGATACCATTGCAACTGCTAGAACATAATACCAAAGAGGCTTTGCTATCTTCAGTTTTTTAAGACATCCTCTTAGATATGGGAAATTGTAGAATGAAAATCATCCAGAAACATTTAATTCTATTGGCTAAAAAACAAATGTTAAAAAACAGTTGCCTTTTCACTAATGAAACATTCAATTCATACTTTGAGTTCAAAATGAGTTCAGCTATTGGACTTGAACATTTCATGGGATCAAATTAGCTGGGGATTTTTTTCAGTGACCGTGTCATTTTGAAGGTATTTTGAGACCCAGAATATTGTTCTGTAAATACAGCCACGCCTGAGACGTTCGCTGGAGCAAGTATGGATCACTGAATTAAAAGGAAAAGAAAGTACATAACGAGAATGGCATTTGGTGCACTCAGAATAGCCTTTCATACCTTTCCCTGTGGACATGCAACACACACAGAATGTGTGGGAAAATCGCCTTTTAGATGAGGCATAAAATCAAAGCTCTAACCGCTTGTGATGACTAAAGATCCCATAGTACTTTCCCCAAGAATACAGTCATTAATCTCAGTGTTCTGGCCAACTTCTAATATGGATAACAACACTGTGCTTGACTAACATGCCCCTCCCACTTTTAGTTTAACTTAAATACAGTTCTTCAGTTCAAACCTGTTCTTCAGGCTTGCTGTGTGCTGTTTCGAACCCAGCCATCTGCATTTCACTGGTGGAAGATGTGATGCCTATTTGTCCATTCATTGACAGTCCTTGTAAAACAATTTGGGATCTGTACCAATGAAAGGCACGATATAAAAGCTGGCTGTTAAATATCAGAAAGTTCCTGGCAGTGATAGCTGGAGATGGAAGAGGCACTGTTGCTTTTCTTGTGAGAGCGCAATTTTGGCCAGTTGCATGCAATAAACCATGGGCCCTTTCATGTGGATTATTGAAGACTTGTCAGTATTGTTTTAGACAAATAGATAAGGTTTTCTTGGTGTTTGCAGTATTACCTACAGGACCCTGTAATTACGGTAGGGGAATGCCCCTGCTAGTGAAAATATTGCAGGTTCTGTAAAAATATTTAGATATCCAGGGACTCTCAGGAAAGTTAAGGCAAATCAACTAAAAGGTGTGAAGTCACCTTCAAGGTGGAGGGGGAAGAGGGTGGGGGGACTGATTCAAGGCAGATTAAGTTACTGTAAATTAAGGCCACTTTACTCCTTAATGAGGGCATCCACACACCATGTGCATTGACTTCACACCTCTAGTTGATTTACATTAACTTTCTTGAGTGTCCCTGTGTAGACACGGCCTAAAGTAACTGGTGTAACCACTGTTTGGGGCTGTTAAGATTGCTTCCCTGTCCTTGAAGCTGCTCTCCACCCACGGTTCCTGTTGAAGTAAGTGGGAACAGAGGATGCTCAGCAGCTGAGAGGCTCAGGCCCTTAGTGAGGAGGTACGGGCTATAGCAGCTTCAAAGTGTGCCAGTGGAACTCAGTCTGACCTCCCCAGTGTTCCTGACCTACCTGGTGAGGTGGAATGTCTAGCCCAATGTCTGACTGACATCTGACCCTGGGCAAGGGTGAGCTGGTTGATGCCCATCTCAGATAAGCCTGAGGTGTAATGCTGGTAGACTGGGGGAAAGCAACCAGAAAATGTGGCAGAGGTTATAACTTTGATCCAGCAAATCATTGAAGCCCATGCCAATGTTTCAGTAAAACACCTGCGGTTGCCTGTGTCAATCGACTTGAGCTCATGGGGCTTAGGCTGCGGGGTTATAAAACTGTATTGTAGATAAGTGGTTCTCCACCAGGGGTACACATACTCTTGGAGGTACACAGAGGTCTTCCAGGGGCTATTCAACTAATCTAGATGAATGTTTCTCAACCTGGGGTTTGCAGTCCTCGGGGGGGGGGGGTGTCACAGGATGGGTTTAGGGGGGTCACAAGTGCAGGGTGGTATTGGGGGGGCAAGCAGGGCAATTGCCTGAGGCCCAACACCACAGTGGGTCCTGTGAAGCTAAGTTACATGCTCCAGCTCTAGGCGGTGGGGCTCAGGCTTCAGCCTCACCACCTGGGGCTCTGGCTTCAGACAAGACTCACAAGTGGAAAAACAGGCTCAAGCATCACACTGAAATGTAAGTACCATATTTATATTCCAATCGATTTATTTTATAATTATATGGTAAAAATGAGAAGGGAAGCAATTTGTCAGTAACAGTGTGCTGGGACACTTTTTATTTTTATATCTGATTTTGTAAGCAAGTAGTTTTTAAGTGAAGTGAAACTTGGGGTACTCAAGACAAATCAGACTCCTGAAAAGGGGTATTGAAGTCTGGAAAAGTTGAGAGCCACTGGTGTAGATGCTTGGGCTGGAGTCCAGGCTCTAGGACCCTCCCTCCTTGCAGAGTCCCAGAGCCAGGGCTCCAGCCCAAGCCTGAACATCTATACTGAAATTCTGTAGCCTCACTGCCCAAGCCAGCTGACATGGGCCAGCCGTGGGTGTTTTCTCGCAGCATAGACATACCCTTAGAGTCATTCAGGTAGCCACTTCTGAGACCCCTGGTATTTGCGGGAGGAGTTATCTTAGCAGATATAAGAATATTGTCATAGAATATCAGGGTTGGAAGGGACCTCAGGAGGTCACCTAGTCCAACCCCTTGCTCAAAGCAGAACCAATCCCCAGACAGATATTTGTCCCAGATCCCTAAATAGCCCCCTCAAGGATTGAACTCACAACCCTGGGTTTAGCAGGCTAATGCTTAAACCACTGAGCTAACCCTCCCTCCTCAAAAGCTAAGATGTAGTGGTGGTAGAATTTGGTGGGTTGTCTTTGTCATTTGGGCAGTTCCATAAGCATGTGCACTGTCTTAAATTTTGTGTAAACACTATTGGTTTTAATATGCATAAAGTACCTACAGTTCCAGATAGGCACTAGACATGTCTAAATAAATAAATATGAAATCCAAAAAAAGAAACAAAATAAATAACCACTCTAGTATGGACTATGAATAGGAAAGTCACAGTGAAAACTCATGTGATCAATATCTACTTTTCAGCTACCCTTTTAGTTGTTATAACTTATGTATGTGCGCTTTAGTAATGATGTGTATCAAGATTTGTTTATTTGGGATCAGCATGTTTGTGGATTTCATTGTGTCTGGCTGTTTTTTCTTTCATTAAACTTGAGCCCAAGTTGGTTTTGTACCATGTGCTGACTAGGGCATGGGGGAACAGGCCATTAGTAAAACTTCAAGTAACAAAAGATGAAAGATAATGCAGATTCTCTTAGCCTCAAAGTCATTCTAAAAAGTTGCTTTTATTTTTAGCTAACACTTCAGTGTTGTGACATTCAAAGCAGAACATAAGAAAACTGCCAACAAATTTTAAAGAATCCATTAATACTCGTAGTCAGGAGGCTTCCGTTTAGAAATTCTACATTATTCAGAGTGAAAAACTAATTAATTAGAATGCCCTTAGGACCCAGAATCTGCTTAAATATGTTAGTGGAAAAGTTAATTAATCATTGCAGAATGAGATCTGCAGCAGGGCATACATATGAGTGCTACAAAATGGTTCCCTAAGCCACAGCTTATTTTTTTCCTTTCCTTTTAAGAATATTTCCCTGACAGTATTTTACTGTTTACATCTCATTATTTCTGTAACACTTTATCATATGCCTTCAGTCTTTCATCAGCAAAATGTAGCACCAGTGCTGAGCAATGAAGAAAGGAAGGATAATGATAACAAAAAAGGAAGAGACACATGAATCAATCCTTTGATTCACATGTTTTCTGTTTATCACTAAGGTTTCTTGGTCATTCAGATGAATCTTCTAATAGAATAAGGGGAAAAAATGTGGGATCTTAAAGACCCAAACATTTTATACACACTCCCATAATTCCCAGCATATGATATAAAAGCTATTTCATGAACAACATGGCGGTAATGACTATAGAGTTGTTCAAGGCTGGTGTTACTATTAACAGGACCAACCAGCCAACTGATTGAAGCTTTTACCTCTCCTCTTTACTCAGCAATGGGATATACATGAGGTGGGTATACTGCTTCATGTTAACTGAAGCTTGTTAATCATTTGCTTAACCAAAGAACTCTCATGTACAGTGCAGAAAAGTATTGAATGCCATCATGAAGTCAAAGACATATATTTAAGGCTTTGTTATATTAAACAGAACTCTTGCTATGGCTCGTTCACAACCAGCTGTGGAGAAAAATTATGCTTCTTTACCCTGATGCTGAACTTAAATGGAGATATTTTAATGTTAATCAGCATGTGCCTACCTTTCTCTACAGCCCGATTAGGATGTGTTTCATAGTTCAGTCAAGTCAGTGGACAGACTCTCAGTGACTTGACTGGTCTTTGGATCCAGCCCATGTTGCATAATGAAATACAATGGACCGTCTTTTGGGGAGATCCATTTTTTGTCACAACACAGCGTCAGCAAGGGCCTAATTCGGCATGGAGAAGTGACTGGGAGTTGAGGGCCTTTCAAGATTGGAGCCTGTGACCATTGGGTTGCTATAAACAGAAAATGGTTAAGTGTTTGATATACCAACTTTATATTTTAATACGAATGCACACACTCAGTCTAAAAGTTCTATAAAATACGTGGCTGATCAATCATCTAAACTGCCCTCATTTTTCTGGTGTTTGATATAGACACAAGGCTTAACATATGTCTTCAACCTTTCTGTTTGGTTTTAAGTTCAGAAATGTGTCTCATCTGCCCTCTTTTTCCTGGGCCTGTCTACTTAAAATGCTGTGCCAGTGTAGTATTTCAATGAAGACACTACTTATGCCGACGGGAAAGCGTAGGTATTTCACCTCCCCAAGAGGTAGTAGCTAGGTCAACAACAGATTTCTGCCGTCGACTTAGTGCTGTCTACGCTGGGGGTTAGGTCAGTTTAAGGGTGTCACACAGGGGTGTGGATTTTTCATACCCCTGAGCGATGTAGTTATACCAGCCTAATTTCCTAGTGTAGACCAGGCCCCTGAGAGACTTCATGGAGAACTGGCAGAGTTATGATATCTGAGATGCTAGGTAGCCACACCTAATTAAGTGGTGTGATCACAGGGGAAGAGTGACTTTTTTTTTATTCCGACCGTTTATAACTTTTTCTCTTTTCTATGTTTTTGTTAATACCTATTTTCTCACATACTGAACATAAATAGTTGGGAGTAAAGACTAAAAACCTACCTTTTCCAGTAGGGGCCAGGAGATCTCACAGCACACATCTAAGACACTGAGTGAGCACTCCAGCAAAGCCGAGGAACATCAGACTTTACATTCTTGATATTGCTAAGGAGAAAAAAAAATTAATGAAAAAACACCATTTGGGCTGCCTTTTTACATCACAAAGAAGTAGGGCACAAGCCCCCCCCCCCTTTTTTTTTAAACCTTTGCAGTCTCCCTTTAAGAGAACAGTAGCAAACTTCGCTTAGTGGGAAAAGCTTAAATAGCGGGTTACCCTGAGTTGTAATTTGCTCATTGAAACAATGTGGGGCTTTTCCATCTCCCCATTCAGTTCATGCAGCATCTGAGTTCATGATAAACAGATGCCATTCTGCCTGAATGTGGTGAATGTATACATCTAGTTTTACAGACCAGGCATGTTCTTGGAGCTGTACACAGAGAGAGGAAGTCGTGTTAACCTGACCCGAAGAATTTCCAGTCTAATCTGACAACATAAAGACAAAGGTTGGAGAACAGGCTACAGCAAAGGAATGTAATTGAAGGTGATCTTCTTATAGAAGAGATTAGGGATTATACCATTTGAAATGCAGGTGTAAATAACCATTAGAAATGTTATTGACAAAGAACCATGCCCCTTTTCACATCACTTTTAATTCCTTGTATCCTTCAGTGTGTGAAATGACATTATTTCCCTCTCTGAGGATGATGGGGACAAGTCTTTCTCTCTACAAGCTGCTTTTGTCTCCATGCAATTTAATGATGTGGAAAAGTAATATTGCCAGGTTCGGTGTCAGTGTTTCAGCATAATAAAAAGCTGTTCTGCTTCATCTCCTTCACTCCTAGCTGGCTTTCACTAGCTTTCACTCTCTGATAAATTTGATCTAATTGCAATGCTTATCTTTGAACTGTTCCTTAAGTGACCCCTCATTAGGGCTAATGTGTCTTTCTGTGTCATGTAAACTTTTTTTTAAAAACTAGAATCCTAATGAGTATAAGAACAGCACAGCTGTATGATAAAGCGTTCATTAAAGGATTCCTTAATAGAACCTACTGCCATTCCTTGATTGCATAATCAACAGCTAATGAAATTGTCTTGGTAACAAGAGCTACAGTGTATTACATCCTCTCTCGAGACTAAGTGGAAAGACAATTGTACCATCCTGAGAAGACTATTGATTGTTCACAGTTTGAATTTGATTGCCCTTAAGGAGAACTAAACAAGAGATCATCTTGAGCTCTGCTAAATGGATTTTGTTTTCTTTGGATATTAGTGTTTTACTTTCATACAAGGGACCACAAATGCCTGGGACCATAATCGTATTGCAGATTTCCAGAGTTTGCCAGTTTGAAAGCACTTCTCATTGTATGAGGAGAAATGGTAGCTGCTTACTTGTGACACCTTTAAACTGCATCTGTGTTTATGTTTGAATGAGTGCAAAGCTCTGATAGGCCTCCATTGCCTCTTTGTAGGAGGTAATCCCAAAGGAAAGTTCGCCTTGGGACTGGTTCAGAATGAATGGAAGGTTTACGTGAAGAGACCACTAGATCGGGAAGAACAAGACATTTATTTTCTGAACATCACTGCTACCGATGGCCTCTTTGTAACACAAGCTGCTGTGGAAGTGACGGTCACTGATGTTAATGATAATAGTCCTGTCTGTGATCAGGTTAGTCAGCAAATTTTAGTTGTATAATATTTTACTGGACATAAAGTTTTCCTATAAAGTTCACTATTATTTATCATTGGTTTCCAGTTTCATTTATTTTCATTTCTTAGCTCCATTGATGGTACGCTCTTAGTTCAGTGGTCTGACATGTTCTGGGAGGCACTGGTGGGAGTAGATGGTTTCACTAAAGCAGGTGGAAGGATAGTGTTTTAGAGAACATAGCAGTGGAGCTAGAGGACCTAGGCCTTCTCCACACTGGTAGTTTTCTTATTATGTAGTGAGGTTAGATTATTGTTGTTGCAGCCCCTCTAGTGGTAAAAATGGTGAGAGGATCAGTATAGACAGGGCACAGGTAGCCACTGGCATTTTAACCACCGTGACATCTAGACCTATCTGAGCACAGATGATATAGTGGTAAAATTACCCTGTGTCCTGTCCTTGCGCTCCCACACTCACCGTCAAGGGTGCAGTTGTACTGCTACAGTAGTGAAATGAGGGGAGCGTTCAAGAAAAAGTCAGGGTAGACAGTGTATAAGGTGTGTCAGCCTTTTTATTCCTAACACCTTTGCAGTTCTATTAATGTTTTTAGTTTGTGTTGTTGTTGTGATACTTAAAATGCTTAAGAACTTACACTAATGAGTTAAAGTTCCTTAAGAAAAGTTGTTTCTTTTGTATAAAAATGTTGAAGATACTTGTAAGTGCATGCACCATAGAGAGTAACCATGCAAAATTGTGTCTGTGCAAAGATAATATAAACTGCAGCTCTTGCATCTCCTGTGTTTTCTGCTTTTGTCCCTAGTTTGCATATGCAGCATTATTTCCTGAAGACATTCCATCAAACAAAGTCATCCTTAAGATCAGTGCCAAGGATGCAGACATTGGATCCAATGGTGAAATTCGCTATTCGCTGTTTGGACCTGGGAACAATAAATTTTTTTTAGATCCAGAAAGCGGTAAGGTGACAAAACTTTTGTCTCTGAATGACATTGCTAACCCTGGCCACCAGTTGGGGCCAGAGTTCTCACCAATTACTGCTAATGCATTTTCCATTAAAGTGTCACATGGAAATCTGAACTTCTGCTGTCAGTTTATATTATTGCAGGCACTTATGTCCACTTTGAAGGTGACAGTTATAGGACAGTAGAAGGGAAGGAACCCCTTTGATAGCCACCTTGGATATTCCATCCATTGGGGGGGATTTAACCCTCACGTTTCCCAGCAAGACCTTCAAACCAGTCGTGGGCATCAGAGGCCTTGAGCTGGAGCCCACTTGGTATAAAAGAGAGGGAGCTGCTGGCCGAATGTTTATGAGGAGCCTTCAGCTTTGGAAATCATTTCTTCCACCAGGGTCTGAAATAGCCTGAATGTGTTGATCTTCAGTACATGTGGCAAGGACTATCTTTTCATCCAAGCTTTTGGGGAGGAAGGGCCATGGATATCGTATTTGTTAGCATGTTGGAGTGTTTTGGGGGTATTGCTGATTTGATACATGGTTTTTGATACGTGGTTTACTAACAGGAGGCACTGCATCTGGTGGTACTGTTTTGTTACCATAAATCACAGAGGTTGAAGCAGTGGGAGGTGTTTAGTATGTTAAAGGTGGGCTATTGTCCCCTATCAGAATAAAGTGTAATGTATTTAAATATGGGATCTGGCATATAAAAGACTAAATCAGTCCTGCTGACTAGTACCAGATGCTTTTCTGATATGTTAATGGTTGAAGACTATTTATCTGTTTTATAAGAAGCAGATAATATTTAAAACTTGTGGAATATGAACAAGCTGCCTTGTGGTTGCTCTTACTGCCCATGGTCAGACCTGTGTCCTTTCATTGGCCTATAACGTGTATCTGAGAATGAGAGATCTGATCTAAACTGGAAGGCAGAGGCACCTACTGAGACTCTGAGTTGTTTGTTGGCAAAGATCAGCATTACGGCCCTTTACATTTGATTATCTCTGCTGTCATCAGTAGATTTACAGTGCATTTATGTGTTTAGAAATCTAGAGAGCCATGGAGATTATGAGAGTAACCAAAAGGCAGACATGAAAAATACTGTTTATTATACTCTCAGCCATGGGTGAAATTGTAGGGCTTTGAAGGTCATCCAGATTGGCTTACCTACTGCATTTGTACTGGCAGTTAACTATGGTGGATAAACAGAAGTAAAATGAAACTTTCAGGATTTTGTATTCCTTTCAATGATGAACACTATTATTTGTTTCTTTTTTCCCCCCTTTTTTTTCTTTTAATTCCTGAAAAATATGTGATCTTTATGGTACTTACAATATCTAAAAATGGATATTCTGTTATATTAATAATGATGATTGCTGCTTTTACCCAATTTTAGGTGAGTTGAAAACCTTGGCCCTTTTAGACAGAGAGAAAATCCCTGTGTACAACTTGATTGCCAGGGCAACAGATGGCGGTGGCAGGTTCTGCCAGTCAGAAATCCACCTTTTCCTGGAAGACGTTAATGATAATCCACCAATGTTTTCTACTGATCATTACACCGCATGTGTCTATGAGAATACAGCCACTAAAGCTTTGTTAACAAGAGTCCAGGCCACGGATCCTGATGTAGGTAAGTGAGAAATGTTACTAAGAATAACTAGTACCCAGGAAAAATGCATGGGTTGGTGGAATTGTGGCAGAGATGGCACCTCCTTCCTTGTCTCTTTCTCTCCTTATTCACCTCTTCTGCTTTTCCTTCCTCTCCACTTTGTTATCCCCTTTGCTGCTGCTCATTGTTGAGTGTGGCATGGTGTCATAGATGTATAAGTATTGCAGTGGCCAGGGAAGTCTGTCGTCACCATATTCATATTGTAGAGATCACTGGAAGCAGTTATGATGAATTTAAGGTTAAGTTTAAACTTTTATGCTATAAAGATCTCAAGTTCTTTTAGAGCTGAAGATTTCCATGCCTGTTTTTGTGTTATGCCTGTAATATAATTATATGCCAGTAGAAATCTATACCTGGGTAGAGAAATATAGGTCTTGATTCATCACAACTTTGTTATAATTTTACTCTGCTATTGTTGTACTTTGTATAGACTGGAGATATTCTGGTTATTTTCTTACTGATTTTTTTTTAATGGCAGCCTTTTGTTATGTGAGGAACTTAATCATGAAATCTAGGCAAAATTTTTTTGTCTTGTAACACAAGTGTTAAATTGTAAAAGCCTTTGCTCTTTTTCATCTAATTTGTTTCAGGTAGATAAATATAGAGTCTGACAGTTTTTTCTTTTCTCTGCTTTATTTTTGGGAGATGTTTTATGAAATCGTGGCATGAGTGATGTTACCTACAAACCAGTGAATGGAAAATACTTTTTATTCATATTTTTCTGAATTATAATAGATGCTGGTAGTGTCCTCTGTTGTTAAGGTTGCTAGTTTAAATTTGCTGCATTCAGTAAAGTTAAAGAATAAGCTGCAAACATTCATTACTATATCTATAAAGAACACATTATGCTCCGTGGTTGAAAAATCACAATTACAGTTTATTGTACTGCCCTGTAGTGAAAAAGCCAATTACTCTTAGTAAGCCAATACATGTGTTGCAAACCCAGTGTGTTTATTTTCCACTGCAGTTTTAATTAGCATTTTTCTCATGTATGAAGTGACATTTAAAACAAAAAAAAGATAGCAAAGAATTTGGAATAAATGTTGTCCATAAAAGTTGTGCTAAAATCAACTTTACATAATGAGATGATGAACTATTTAAAAATGGAGGTAATTGCTACATTCATTCTCTTTCTGAGACTGCATATTTTTATAGAGGTGGATATGTGATGACAAATATGAAAGGATATATAGTCTTCCTATAATGTTTAGAGCTGTAAATCATAGAGGGCTGTGTAAGATGGAGGACTTACTCTGGTTTATGAAACTGATTTTAATACAATTCCGTGTTTTATTAGTCAGCACTAAAAAAACATATTCCCACTATTGTGGAAATGAATGCATTAGGATCGGATGTTTTTTTTCATAACATGCAGTAGTTAAATCTCTGTAAAGTATCCTACACTCCCTTTGAAAACATTTGTGTAGCTTGTAATGAGCCCAGGAACATATTTTCCACAGAGCATTTTACAATCAGTGTTAGTGTCTGCCAATTCCTCTACTATTTCGGTCCTTGAAGAGCCGTGTACTCTACCTGTAAGGAGGGTGAATTCTGATTTAGAGAACATGCACCCTTTTCAGAAGAATGAAGAGAGAAATGCCAGCATGGAGAACATAGAGAGAGAACTTGAAAGACAAGCCATGTTGTGGGCTCCAGGAACTCTTCGCACTAAACATAATACAGCATATGAGGGAACTGGCATTATATTGAATGAATGTTTGGTCAGATACTCTTAGGATAATTAGGGCAATTTCCAGGCAGTAGGAAGATTCGGTGCCACTGCTCAAGTTATTGAAGGTTTTTGTTGTGCAGTACCTGCTTCTCAATATATTATTTAAAATGTGGATGTGCCTCTGGTTGCTTCTTAAGGGCTTGGTCATGAAATGTGCTGAGCATTTCCTAAGAGACCTTTTGAAGTCTGTGGGTACATCCAGACTACCTGCCATATCGGCAGGTAGCGATCGATTTATCAGCAGGTAGCAATCGATTTATCGGGGATCGATATATCGCCCCCCCCCACTGTAGACCAGGCCTCAGAGAGTTGAGGGTGTCATGCTGTCTGGAGTAGCTCACAACTGAGAGTGTTAATCTCAGGTCAGATGGTGTGCCCTGTTTTCTGACACCCCAAACTGGTGGTATATTCTATAATTTGATTTCACCAAGCCAGTAACAACTGTGCACTGCTGGATTACTATATTAATCTTACCGTGGAGCCGAAGGCAGTCCCCTGAGGCTCTTTAGTGCATCTTGCCACCCAGACAAACTGGGCTAAGTGATGAAAAGTTATTAAAACCAAAAATCACCTCACATTAGGTCACTCCTGACCCCAAAGGGCCAGTCACTTACCCCAGGTCAAAGGACACTCTTGATCTCACACCAAAAACAATGCTGTTGCCAATTTCTCTAGTAAACTAACTAGAGATTAGCTAAGAAAAAGAAATGAGAGTTATTGAGAGATTAATGTAAGTAAAATACATTACAAGTGAGTCAGAGTTTGTAAGTCCAAATGATTAGCAAAGGCCTAGTAATCTCCTGATTTCCATAAATCTCTCAGGATTACCCAAAACAGCTTTGGGGATCTCTGTCTTGTATCTGGAACGCCCCCTGAAAGTGTCCAAACAGCTCAGAGATACAGGATTGCTCCCAAGGTAGATTCTGATAGCTGTTTTCCCCAGAAAGCAGTCGGGCATGTGTTCCCATCACATCATGGATCTGTAGACTTCCCTTTGTTGAACGCAAGGACCCATGCTTTGAAGTTAGCATGCTTCTCATTTACAGTTCTAAGGCTTCAATCCTGGTTAACTTTACAGGGACATACATAATGCATTTAGTTAAGCCATCCAGACAGTCTTTCATTAGTTTTCATGAACAATGTGATAGCCAGAAACAATCCTTCATTAGTTTTCATGCAGTTTTACATGTTAAGTAAATTCTCATCTAAACGCTAATACATGCTGTGATCTAGGGTTAATTAAGTACAGTGATGTATAATGTAAAATATAATGTAATAGCATTCAACAGGTTACAGATAAATGAAGACAATACCATCACATTTCCTTTTTAATTATGCCAACACACAAGTGAATTGGCCTGACCACATTACAATGCCTTTTGACACTCCTTTGATTTCTATTAGCATGTGAGTGAATTAGCCTGCTGCCTTGGTGGGAGCTGGCAACCTGCTTGACAGCATCACAGAGGGTACTCAGCCCTATGCAGGATTTGAACCTAAATTGGCTGATTTATATTTAACACATTCATTGATTTTGTTTCATATGGCTGGCTCTGGAAGCAGAAGAATGAACTAATCAAACCTTCATTATTCTTCTGAACTCTTGGATACACAGTTGGTAGCGCCCAACTACATCTAGGCAGATACACATGCTAGAGGGGGACAGGAATGGGAGGGCTCTGCTTTCCAATTTCACAACTTTCAGGGTACATCTACACTACGAGATTAATTCGAATTTAGATAATTCGAATTTGGGAAACAGATTGTATAAATTCGATTGTGCGTGGCCACACTAAGCACATTAATTCGGTTTTTAACCACATTAATTCGGTGGTGTGCGGCCACACTACCCTATTAATTTTAACCACATTAATTCGGTGGTGTGCGGCCACACTACCCCTAATTCGAATTAACAAAATCGATTTTGGTGCTACTCCGCTCATCGGGGTGGAGTACAGAAATCGATTTTAAGTGCCCTTTAATTCGAAGTAACTGGCTCCGTTGTGTGGACGGGTTAAGGATTAATTCGGATTAACGCAGCTAAATCCGAATTAAAGTCGTAGTGTAGACCAGGCCTCAGTCAAAGAGAATTGCTTTGGATAACAAGGAGCATATTCCAATACAGTGCATAGTTCAATTTATATTACCCCTCCACAAAGATGGATGGTCCAAACTGTTAATTAAGTGGGCATCTGGAAGAAAGGGGGGGGGGCTGCACAACTCCCTTTGTTACACTACAATTATTGATTTTTTTAAACATAAACATATAGCATTGCTATCCGCCCTACTTTTACTGGAAATTCCTGATTTTTCATGGAGTTCACCTGTATCGTACAAGCTAGTGAAGTAACCCACTATCGTGCTATTGTAGATAGAGTATAGAGGCTTTGGGACCTGAACTGTTACTGGCTTTACAGCGTGGCAGAGAGGCTCCCAGGTTTGCAGAGACACCATAGCAATCTGATATGTGGAATCTGTTGTGCAACGTCTACCCTACAGGGAAACTTGATGGAGAAATCCAATGGGAGTTAGGTGCCTGGATGCTTTCAAAAATTCTACTACTTCCAACTAGGCCGGCACCAATATTCATCTTCAGGTGCCTACACTCCTCTAGAAATCTGGTCCATAGAGCTTTAACATTTGTGGTGGCCAGCTGGCAGATCCAGCTCTCCATTTCCCTCATCCAGTACTGGTGTTTTTGGCAATTTATTGAAGTCTAACAAGCTCCTTCTAGTCAGTCTTTTAGTTGATCAGTCTGTCCTGGGAGACATTTGCTAGAGGTACCATTCAGCCATCATTACAGTTTCTAAAAATTGTACATGATAATTTTCTAACACAAAAGATATTGTACCCAACACAAGGTAGCTCCTTACGATGAATAAAGACGAATTATCACTGGACTGAAGGGTGATAAGTGCCGAGGGACTGGTGATCATGACCAGGATAACACTGAATATTGACAAGTAGGGGACAGTTCCAATAATTATTATAAATACTTGGTGCTTCAAAAGGGCTAATTTCCGAAAGCTGAGCAAAATTCATTGAGATAAAAAAACCAGATAGAATAATGTGTATGAAAATTCAAAGTTCTTTAAAAAAATGTATTAAATGTTCAAAAAAGCTGTGTTTCCACAATCAAGAAAGAAGATAACTTTGGCTAAATACCCATCCCAGTTCAGTGGCAAAATGAAGACAAAAATTAGCAATAAAAAACAGTATATAAAAAATA